CCCCCCCCCTCCTCCTCCCCCGTACCACTCCTGTGTGAGGCTCGCAGGGTCGGAACCAGAGATGGGAGTCTGTTAGCCCCCCGGGGGTTGTTGGGAGGTGGAGGCAGGCAGTAGGACAGGCGTGGAGAAAAGGGAGGGGCGGGGGGCGTCATTGATTGATTCCAGACGAGAGGAGACACGGGACTCGCACGAGCCAGAGCTGGTAGGGATGGCGCAGGGGGGGGGGGGGCTGTTATCATGGTTGCTGAATATATCCTATCTTGTCAGTCTGCTGGTCCCGTTCACGGGGACGTTGCAGTAGTTGCAGTGCGTACCCCCGGCCCGGCCGCCCTCCTCTCAGCACGTGAGGGCCGAAAGGGTGTCGGTCTCCCCCACCCCCCCTTCGCCACGCCCCCCAGCCTCAACTGGCCTCAACTCACCTTGTCACGGGCAGCCCAGAATGGCATGCAGTAATACCACAAATATACATATCTAGAGCTTCTGCAAGGCTTACGACCTTTGGTGCTCGGCACGTACGGCACGTCCCCTACGACCTAGGCTGGTCACATGTGTTAATCAAATAGACTTAAGTCTAATCTACGCTTAGCTCGCCAGAATGTAGATTAGGTTTGGGTCACTGACCAGCTGAGCTTGACGTTCTCTTTGAAGGATGCTTTTACGGTGGTCGACATTGAGAGTGGCCGAGAGTTGCGCTCTGCGCGACCAGAGAGGATTTGTCTCGGACTTACTTCGGCGGCACTTCTTCACTTTTGTTTCGGGGCTCAGGCAGTTGAGCAGAGCTAGAGTAACAGTAACGCAGTGAATGTGGCGGAGCTGGCTAGCAGACTGTCCAACCGGGATAGCATTTTCGCTACCCCTGGGTGCTGCAGGGCGGGCCGTTGCCGTTCTGCCGCACCGAGGCGGGGGTAGCAAGAGTGGAGCAGCGCCGACGTGGCGGGGGCGGGGGCAGCGGGAGGGGAGGGGAGGGTATACACGCTCTCTCGCCAAGTGCATCGCACGGGTACTTGAGCACGAGGGGTCGAAATCGACCGACGGTCAATATGGCCTTACCTATATTCTACTGCCCAACCCCAGAAGCGCCAACCGCACTAAATGCGCTTCAATAATGCCCGTAGAAATGCACACATATACGGTGACACATTGGTGTCTCTTTTTATGCGCATTACAGCATTAGATGCGCATTAAATGGGCATTTACCTCACACTACGCGCATTTAGCCTAATGCGTCACCAATGTGTCACCGTATGTGTGCATTTCTACGGGCATTATTGAAGCGCATTTAATGCAGTGGCGCTTCTGGGGAACCCCTGCCCTCCTCTCCCGGCGGCGTCACCTTCATTCATTCATAACAAGCAAGTAGACGCGTCGTGCACATGGTTCTGTGTAAACGAATGACCTCTCTAGGGCTCACCTCAGCATATCTTTCTTACAGACTTCCCCCGACGGAACCAGGACCTGGCCGACTCCGAGCCGTCATGTACAAGGCCGCTTTCCAGGATGCGACTACTCTGCGACGAGCGGCAATTTGAAACCTGCAAAAAAATGACAAGTTCAGGTGCGGTTTAAAGTCTGTCTGACGGAGGGGGCGATTTACTGTGGGTTGCCTATTTTCAGGGGTTTTGTAGGACACATTGCCCACCTACCGCTGTTGATGCGCTTTAAAAGCGTCACCAATAATGTGTCACCTTTTACGTGCATTTCTATGCGCATTGAACAGCAATGAAGCGCATTTAATGCGTTTGGTGCTGGAGTGGTAGGCCTCAAACTCAAGCCACTGACTAATTTTTTATGTCAAAATTTACCTTTACACACGTGCCTGCTAAGCAATTTTGAGGAAGACATTCACCTCTGCCATCACTTTTTCGCAGTCTGGTGACTCACAAGCAGCGCTAGCGCTTACCTCTCCTCTACGAGGCCGACGACGGCGACTGGCTGAACGGCACGGCGTGAACGCGACACCTTTACAGACAGAACGGCGCGGATTTCCGGCGTCCGAAAGTGATCTCGCCTCCAGCAGCGCTGGCCGCGCCGATGGGGACAGGGGTGAGACCGTGGGCCCCCGGGAGGGCCCCCTTCCCCCTCCCCCCTTCCTCCACCTGCCCAACCCTACCCCCATTCCCTTGATCATGGTCCGATCATGACACTCCCTTCCAAGCCAACAGGTACAGAACGTGATTATTCGTTCGTATGAATCAATAATTCCTTCGACTTAAGAGCAGCCAACTGTGTGACAGTTCTTTAATCAAGGGGTTGCTTCCAGTGGCGGAAACAGGATGTGCCATCCGTATACGGTAGCAGGTGCACCAAAATGTGTCACGACCTAATGGCCGTAGAGATGACTTTGACACATACGGGTTTCAGTCCGATCCAGTGAGAAACAGAGCCTTGGAATAGAGAGCTGAACAATTATTTCCTGGTGCAAAGGTTGCTTCTCCGTCTCCGTCGTGCGAGCATGAGCTCTACTCCTTCAACTTCAACAATCCCACGTTTCGGTCAGACAAGACGTGATGAAAAATAATCGTAAAGGGTAAGTTTATCGTCAGGCAAGGTCAAGCCAAGCTGTGCCATTTGTTGTCTGTGGTCACAGATGGAGTCGCGGTTCGCCGTCGTGGTCTTCCCGTACTCACCGGTTTGCCGCGTTTTTTCACCGGAACGTTGGTAGCCCGAAATGTAGATTGAGCTAACTTCAACGGTCGCCATCTTGTGTTTATTTTGTTTGGCGTGCTCTGTGCTCTGCGGAAGCGGCGTCTATTAAAGTTCATTTCTTAATTTCTGAAGTAAAGACAGTGGGCTGTTCCTCATACTTCTTGAATCGTATCATTATGTCATACGGATCGCGAAATGAGTGTCGAATTTATGTGGGGAACCTTCCGCCAGATATTCGTACCAAGGATATTCAGGATTTGTTTTACAAGTATGGCAAAGTCACGTTTGTTGATTTGAAAAATAGACGAGGCCCACCATTTGCGTTCGTTGAATTTGATGACCCGCGGTAAGTTTTTTTTTACATTCTTTCCTTAACAGTTGTGTTACGGGGATGGCAAAAGTGCGGTGTTTTCTGATGTCTGAAGTCACAGTTCAAGGTTATGAGTGCGAAAACAAAGCGTTGGTGGGAGCGTCTCTTGGCCTTCCGATGAAGTACCGATGCCGGTTGGGACTTGCATCTCATGTAGTATTTCATTCATTAACTTCGGTTTAATAATTATCTATTATTCTGTTGTTAATACGCGTACACATCCTTCGGAGGTAGCATTTGTGTTTTATTTTCCTCTTCCCACCCAAGTTATTCAACTGAAGTTAAGATGTCTTTGTCTGAAAATGAACTTTGTTATTATTAACTATGTTTTCTTTGTTAAATTTGTACACAATGAGAATAATTATTCATTTCAAATCCTTTGTTTTGAATTTTAGCTTCAGATAGATGCACTTAAACAAGATTAATCTGGATATGACATTTGGTGTATGATATGCTCTGTTGATTTCCATCACATCTGAATATTTGACAATTTTGGCCAATTATAATTTTGAGGTCTCTGAGAATTTTATTTTAGATCTCTAACTTTATTCCTCACATTGTGATTACAAATTACAGGGATGCTGAAGATGCTGTGCATGCCAGAGATGGCTTTGATTATGACGGCTACAGATTACGAGTTGAGTTTCCCAGAGGGGGTGGACCTGCCATGCGAGGAAGTAGTCGTAACATGTCAGGATCCAGCAGCAGTGGCAGCCGTGGCAGGGGTCCACCTGCTCGTCGCTCCCAATACAGAGTATTGGTCTCAGGTTAATATTCAAAGACCTGTTATGTAATTTAAATCTTAATTTATTCAATGAAGTGTGATGTTCTACTAGCTTCTCTGTGCTGCCTTTCTCCAGGTCTTCCTCCTTCTGGCAGCTGGCAGGATCTAAAGGATCACATGCGTGAAGCAGGTGATGTGTGCTTTGCTGACGTATTTAAAGATGGAACTGGTGTTGTAGAATTCCTCCGATATGATGACATGAAGTATGCTTTCAAAAAATTGGACGACTCTAGATTCCGGTCACATGAGGTAAGATAAAGATAAAAATGATTTTTCATTGGTAAGTTGAGCAAAGAGTCCTTATTGTCAATGTTCTTTGATTAGGGAGAAGTGACTTACATCAGAGTTAAAGAAGATTACTCTGGAAGCAGTGGTGGGCGCGCCAGTGAAGAACGTGGGCGTAGGTCACGCTCTCGTAGCTATTCATCACGAGGGAAACGTGGTTCTCCTTCCTATTCTCCCATTCCTAGGAGAAGTTACTCTCGATCTCGATCTCGAGGAAGCCGTTCTCCTTCATATGATTGATCAATTGTGAGCAACTGCCTCAGTGAACATAAACTGAAATTCAATTTATGTGCCTACAAGCAGTAGGCTGGGAGTACCCAAGTTCCCTCAACCAGTTTCTGGATATCAACTGGATGGGAAGAATCTTCGAGGGCTCTCTGCTCACCCAAATGGTCAGTTAACATTTTAAAATCATTTTGTTATGCCCTAAATCCTTTTCCACGTTCCTCCAGGGGATTAAGTGTTATTTTCATACCTTGTATTTCTTTTTTCCCCCCCTTTGTTGTTTTTTTTTTTTCTTTTTTTTTAATTTTGTGTGAATGTGAATTAAGCAAGTTTTGACTCAACATTGTGTATTTTCAAGCACATATGTGAAGGCATGGAAATAATAGTGTTTCATTCCAACTAGTTTTAATTGTGAGTTGTTTCAAAGGTAATCAATACTTGAGACCAGCTCTTGAGGGCTTCTGACAATGTTTTATGTTTGTTTCCATGGTGTGCATAGTGTAAATTTTTTCTGTTAATGCATGGCGTTTAAATCATTAGCGTCAGCTTATTGATGCCAAATGTCAGAAATCTAGTTTGATCTTGATCACAAATGTAAGGATAAACAAGAGTCAGCCTTTCATCTCATAGGCCTTCATTCTAACAATTTGTATCTAGCATGTACTTAATTAAATTTGACAAACTATAATTTTTTTAAATTGTTTCCTCATATAGCTGTCCTTTTTTCTGTATTGGGTATTCCGTGGTTGTAACACTCTTCTCGTAACTTCTTTAATAGTGTTTCCTTGCCTTCAAGTGCTCTTTCTATGGAACACATTTAGTTCAGATTTTATGTGCTGTTAGTCATATTCATATTGAGTGCAGGCAGAGGTATTACAAACTTATCATGGTCCCTGTCTCTAAAGGCCTTTGCTGTGTTTATTTGAATTGTACAATAATAGAAGTATCCAAAGTCATGAACTACCTTCAAAACTCCATTATTTGTTGCAGTATTTACCATGAAATTACCTCAGTACTAGGCTGCTGTGCTATGTCTTATCCCTTAGTAATAATGAATTTTCACTTTACCCCATTCATTGTGAACTGATCTTTGTCAACATTTGTTGATCATCAGAAAATCTCTAGCATTTTAAGGAAGTCTTACTATATGTAGCTTTTTAGATGCTGGTATTTTACATTCCCATGTCCTCTACCAATGGGGCTATTAAATTTACTTGAAGCTAAAATAGTGTTAATAGCATGGTAAAGGTGTGATGCTCTAAATTTCACACTGCTGCGTGTCTTCAGTGGCTTTGTGTCAAATTTTAAATATTTCTCTTGAGTTGACTGTGTTTTTAGTTCATGTGTGTTTGTGTGTTCATGGGCCTCATGTAATGAGCCTTCCACAGACTTGCAATATATATGTATACATAAGCTTTGTTTACCATACCATAGTCTTATTTAGTTCACAATACAAATGAATCTTTTCCAAAATAACCACAATGAATATAGAAATTGATGTTTAGTTTTGTCCTATCCTTCTACCCATTTAAAAAGCATTTGTGTTTTTACTTTTCTTTGTTACTTGTGATGTTTTTCTTCTTTTTATCTCTGTATGTCAATGACCATTTTATGGTTCTAACTGTTTAGACCTTGTCTTCATTGTGATGATAAAATGTGACTAATGGTTCTTTCTTTTTCTTTTCATTCTTCTGGATAGCCAGAGCATTGTAACTGGATGTATGTGGAAGGAATGGAATGGATTGGATTGCTATTGGATGAACCTATTAAAGGAACGCTGATCCTAGCACTACTTGGGATGTTGGATTCTTTACCGGGAAGAGGAGTGGAGGATGAAAAACTCACATCATTTGTGAATGAGGAAATGGGACGCTTTCATGGAACCTCTGGATACGCTATGACTAGGATTCTTCTTAATGCATCACATGGAACAACTTGCCGGATACATTTTGGAAAATGGATGGGACAACACTGGAGAGACCACGATCTGCTCAGCAAGTGTCCGTCTTTCATGGCCATGGCGTATCATGGTGTGCCTCAGCTACCCCCTCATCTCTGTTTCCCCCATCACTCACTCAACACATTCAGTTTTTGGGACCACAGTCGTTTCTTTGAAATCCAAGCAGACTTAAGTTCTAAGGGTGTTCCCAATGATGGCCTGTTTCTATTTTACAAGATCTTTTTTCCAGAAGACACTGCTGGAAAGAAGGGCCAAATCTACATCAGGATATTGCAACCTGGTTGCAACTGGGACACGGAAGAGGATTTGATATCTGCGAGGGATGATCTGGAATTATCAAGGGATGGATTCCAAGCATCAGAATTTGTTTGCAAGAGGACATAACTATTTGGAAGGGACCAAATTTAGTTACATACTTATCCCTGATATTTGCTCTAAATGTATTTTTGCATTTATTGAAGGGTTAATCCTTTTTAAATTTGTTTGTCAGGGTTACCAGATAAATTAACCTGTGCAGGCACAGGCCTTGTCAAGCACACTTGCTCATAAAGTACTCCTTGTCAACCAATTTTCAATACTTCCTTTGAGTTTTTGAACTTGTTGTATACGTCATTCTCCAACAACCAAGTATAACATTATTTGGAACGGTAGACAGGAGTACACAATCTTAGTATTTTAAAGACTGATTTTTAGTTGTTTTCTTTTCCTTATTTTGGTAATGTGGAAGTATGCGAACTTCACAGTGTCATTACTTTGACCCTTTTAAAACTGTGAGGATCTCATACTTATTCATTCTGTACATTTGTACAGTTTCGGTAAATTGTCTGTAAAAGAAACTTGCACTGTTTTATTTGAAATGACAGCCTCATTTTCTGATCTGAGGGCACTAGAGTAGGAGGCTTTTGGTCAGATGGTGCTCTGTGTGCTAGCATCAAATAAAATGTGTGATCTATTGAATGTGTTGTTGTTGCACCAGCCCAGACTTCCCTTCTCAGTTTTTTTTCCTTTGCCATATAATCTTTGTAAATTTTCCACTGGATTTGAATTGGGGTCAAAAACTTACAATTTTTGTACAATTGATCACATATGACTCGTAAACCACACTCTTAATGCTATCACACAACCTCACGTTTTAGAACTTCACTTGCAACCACATTGTGAAGGCGGGTGCGTCTTGCCTTGAAGTTCAAACATTCAAACACCGCGCTGTACCGTCACCGCCACTATCCCAGCCTCCCCACTATCAGCAGTAGAAGCCTAGAAGCTAACAAATGTCTTCTCTTTGTATTTATTTTTTAAAACATCTTAAATAGTCTTTTCATATGCCTAATGATATGCTTTTGATTCGCTCTGTATATAACATGAAAATTTGGGAACCCAGTTCATTAGACATTCAAGATTCAAGCCCAGAAGTTGAATCTGTCGTGTATGGTACACCACAGATGTCGCCACTGGCGGCACCGCCTGCTATGAGCATTGCTCAACGTCCTGTATGTTTACCTGTGAACCATGAGAGAGAGAATAAAGCATTCTTGGTACAACATCGATAGTGTCTACTTCACCCTATCCTCCACGAACTCAAGCATAGAGAGCAAACACCACATTGGCGACGAGGGAGTTCATTTCGGAAGAAAGCTGCGTCCAGACAAGAGGGTCGCTTGGGTTGCTTGGGTCGCTTGGGTCTCTGAGCCGGCGCAGAAGCCACGTTTTGGTTCTCTGCGCAGACCTCAGAGACCCCACAGCGACCCAAACAACCCAAGCGACCCAAGCGACCCTCTTGTCTGGACGCAGCTTTTATCGGAAGGATCAGAAGTGAAGACACATCAAGCTCCGTGATTTAATTCGTCGGTGAGTGTGGGCCACGTGCTGACAGCATGGCATCCGGCGGCAATGGGAACGGTGGGCGTAACAACGAACGTCAAGTTGTCGATCCACCTCCGGTGGTAATCATGCAACCCACCTTCAACAATCTCCCAAATTTCGATCCAAGTTCTATTACCTTATCAGACTGGTTCGAACTCTTTGAGAATTTCTGCTTTCTCAATGATATCGAGAGAGAACCCGTCGTGGTTGGGCCGGCCCGCACTCCCTACAATAAGAGAAGAGCACTGTTCCTTGGTCACTTGGCGATCCGTCCATTCCAGTATTTGGCTCGGACCTGCCTGCCCAAAAAACCAAAAGATCTCAAGATTGAGGAGTTGTATGACATCCTCGAGAAGCGCTACCAACGACCCGGTCTCATTCAAACCAACCGGTTCTACCTTAGCAAACGTGACCAACGGCCTAATGAATCCATTCAAGATTATGTTTGTGCTCTGCAAGATTTGGCATCTAACTGTAACCTTGGCGCTAGCTGGGACGAGACCATTCGGGATCGCCTCATCGGGGGCATCCGTTCACACTCAGCTAGAGTAAAAGCCCTGGATAAACAACCGAACTCTCTTGCTGATGCAACTGAAATTTTACTCCAGGATGAAGCTGTGGTGGAGCAAGCTCGGGTGCTGTCCCAATTCCAAGTCAACAGAGTGGCCACGGCAGTTCAGCAACCTGTGAACCCACGCTCCAACCAGAACAACCAGTTCAACCAGAACAACAAGAAGCAACCGAAGAACAAGCAGGGCAAGTACCAGAATCATCAGTATCAGCAGTATCAACAGAATCAACAACCCGATTCCAAGGGCTGTTATCGATGTGGGCGCAACCATGACCCGCAGACCTGCTTTGCCAAGAAACTTCGTTGCAAGAAGTGTTCGTTGATCGGACATCTGGCCAACAAATGCCAAACCAAACGATCAAGAATCAACAACCTTCAACCTCAGGCAGGACCCTCTGGCAGCGGACCGAACCCTCAACTGGTCCACCAGCAACCTCAGCCGCAACCAGAGGCACCGAAACCTCAAAACTTCCACCCACTACTTCAGGGTATGTTTGGTTCATCTGCCTAAACACTCACTTCTAGTCAATCACCTTGTGATCTCCTGTGATACTTATCCTCTTTTAATCACTAATTTTTTATCTTAGTAGTTTTAATTTGTCTTAGTTTTAATATTGTGCACATTAGTTTTATTAATTAGCATGGATCCATTGCTTAGTGTAGTTTTTCTTGGGCTGCTTAGCCTCCTTTTAATCCTCAGTAGGATAAAACGACGTTATTCGTCTAATATAAATGTGATTGCAATTGGTGCCATTAAGGCGTCTCCTCCCCTCACGTTCAACTTATTGGTTGAATCCATGCTCGTTCAATTTGAGATAGATACTGGAGCGGGAGTTACCGTTATGGCTTTAACTACCTTTCAAGCTCTTTTTCCTCAATTAAAATTAACCAAATCAAGTGTCCTTTTATCAGCCTTATCAGGCCTTGTTGAAAATACAGGAGAGATCACTGTTAATGTTAAACTCAATTCTACTACTCACAAATTGCTGTTAATAACTTGTAAACATGCTTCAGAGTTCAGACCCTTATTAGGTAGGGATTGGTTAGACAACCTTTGGCCAAATTGGCGTCAATCCTTAACTGCAGATACCTCAATAGCTTCTGTAAAGTCAATTCATAATGTTGAAATTCCTTCAGTTGAAAAGTTGCAAAAAATGTTTCCAAGGCCTTTTGCCATTAATACTGATACAGCTATTGAAGGTTATACAGCTAAACTCATTTTAAAGCACAATGCTCAACCTATCTTTGCAAAAGCTTATCCATTACCATTTGGCATGGAAAAACCAGTCAATGAAGTGTTAGATAGTTGGATCAATTCAGGTAAAGCCGTGAGAGTCAGAGTGGCGGAGTGGGCTTCACCCGGTTTTGCAGTTCCTAAAAAGGACGGTAAGGTTCGTTATGTGGTGGATTTCAAACGTACGCTGAATCCTCAGCTTCGGGTGGATTATTATCCTTTACCAACCCCCGAACATGTTTTCTCTAATCTTGCCAACGGCAAATATTTCACCAGCTTGGACCTTACTGACGCTTACACGCAATTGACCCTCCACCCTGACTCCCAGGACTTGTGTGTGGTGAATACACACAAAGGTCTTTTCAAACTTACTCGTTTGATTTATGGAGTTAATTCGGCAGCTGCAATCTTTCAGTCCACCATGGACTTAATTCTAAAAGACTTACCCGGGGTGATTTGCTACTTGGACAATATTCTTATTAAAGGTGAAGATTTACCTGATATTATCTCCAAAACTTACTTGGTGCTAGCAAGACTTGAAAAACATAATGTAAGGCTAAGATTAGATAAATGTTTATGGTTTGTAGAACAACTCGAGTTCTTAGGGTTCTCTATATCAGCTCTAGGTCGGGCTCCTAGTCCTAGTTTATATGAGGATATCCTAACCTGTGCACCTCCCAAGGACCTAAAGCAATTACGCTCATTCCTGGGTCTCATCAATTTCTATTCAGAATACCTTCCTATGTTTTCCACCATCGCTAAACCTCTAAGATTACTAACATGTAATGATACACCCTTCATTTGGTCAGAAGATTGCCAACTAGCCTTTGATCAGTCCAAAAATCTCCTTAAGTCCAGCCAACTTCTCATGCATTTTGATCCCAACTTACCTATCCTTCTTAGCACTGACGCTAGTCCAGTAGGTGTCGGCTGTGTTCTGGCACATGTCATCAAATCAAATGGGAAACCCGTAGAGAGACCTGTTAGCTTTGCTTCAGCTACCCTTACTCCAGCCCAGCAAAATTATGCTCAGGTGGATAGGGAAGCCTTCGGCGTTATATTCGCCGTTACTAAGTTTTATAAATTTCTATGGGGTAGAGAATTTACGATAGCAACAGATAATTCAGCAATTCAGAGGATCTTGAGTCCCGATAAAGGATTACCCCTTAGGACCAACCACAGACTCCAGCACTGGGCAACCATTCTTCAAGGATTTCAATACCAAATTGAACACCGTAAGTCAGCTCTCATGTCTGTCCCAGATGCTTTGTCTCGTCTGCCATCCTCTGTTACCTTGCACTATCTTAATATTTCTATCAAACCCCCTATCCCCGTAGACGTCATCTCAGAGCACTCTCTACCTGATCCCATCCTTTCTAAAGTTTTCGATTACACCCTCCACGGTTGGCCTCAAAAAAATCCATTCCCTAACCATGCAGAACTCTCTATTTATTTTAAGCAAAAAGATGAGCTTTCAATTCAGCAGAAATGCCTTATGATGGGCAACAGAGTTATTGTACCTCCCCCCTTGCGAGGCCAGGCCTTAGCAATTTTACATATGGGACATCCGGGAATAGTAATTACTAAAATGTTGGCTAGGTCCACGTTTTGGTGGCCCAGTCTCAATTCAGAAATCGAAAATCTTTGTTCAAATTGTTTGCCCTGTGCTAAAATTAATTTAAAGCCTAAATCAAATTACATTCCCTGGACCCCAGCTAAATATCCTTTTGAGAGAGTACACATTGATTTTTACTCCTATAAACAGCATCAATTTTTCATTTTCTGTGATGCTTATTCTAAATGGCTCCATGTTCAAATTATGCCAACAACTGTAGCATCTGCTGTTAATAATGCCTTATTTTCAATTTTTGCCATGTGGGGTTGTTTACCTACAGCTCTAGTCTCAGACAATGGCCCCCCCTTCGATTCCTCAGAGTTCATAAATTTTTTAACATCTTTAAATATTCTGCTTAAACACAGTCCCGTTTACCATCCTGCATCTAATGCTCAAGCAGAACGAGGAGTGGGCATTGCAAAAAGGGCTTTAGACAAAATTTTAGAAGACCTGGGTGGGATGGCGGCATCGACCCCATCAAAACAAATATCCACAGCACATTTGCTTGAAGCTGTTAACATTTTCCTTTTCACCCATCATAACACCCCATCAACCTCCACCAACAAGGCACCTAATGAGTTACTCCTTTCATTCAGACCCCGAACCATACTTTCACAGTCTAACCCAACCTTAACATCCTCTCTTGGGCTTCCATCCACCTTCGCTAAGTTTCGGGAAGGGGAATTAGTTCTTGTCAGACTCGCAAATCAACCAGCAAAAACGGGTAAAGTCATTAGGCAAATAGGTGTAAATAATTATAATGTTCTCATTGATGGAGTTATTAAACAATGCCATTTTAATCAGCTTGAATTAAAGCCTTAAGTGTTATCATAAAAATAATAAATGATCAACTTGTTTTTACCATTGCATCACTGTGATAAAAATGTATTAATCACTGTACCTTTAAAATTCTAGTGATAAAAATTATCAATCACTTGTTTATTATTCTTATTGTTTAAGTTGTATTGTATGTGATAAAAACTATAAATCACTTGCTAGTCTATGTCTGATGTGATAAAATGTATTAATCACTTGGTTTATTCTCTCTAATGTTTATTTATTGTACTAGGTTAAGTCTTAGATTAAGTGCCTTCTGCTATGTATTAAAGTCCGAGTGGATGTCGTGTATGGTACACCACAGATGTCGCCACTGGCGGCACCGCCTGCTATGAGCATTGCTCAACGTCCTGTATGTTTACCTGTGAACCATGAGAGAGAGAATAAAGCATTCTTGGTACAACATCGATAGTGTCTACTTCACCCTATCCTCCACGAACTCAAGCATAGAGAGCAAACACCACAGAATCTACTGTCTGCCTAGTGCCACTGTCAACTGCTGTCAATGGCAAAATACATTTTCCTCCCCAAACTGTGATAGATGGCAATTTTCTGAAACGAGCTAGAAAAACGCTGTACTTTCAAAGTACAAACTCTCAACATCATGGACACAGATTTTTCCTTTTTTTAAAAAAAAGAAAGAAATGACAAGCTATCCCTAGTTGTCGTTGTCCCGTACCAACCTAATACATTCTGTCTGCGCATGTCCGTAGGTCGCCATCTTGGATGTGAAAATTCGATGGTAAGTGGCATTATTCGTGTTTAAAATGCGAAATTGGCGCTTTTAATGTCCGAAGATTATTATTTCCTATAACTCTACACAAACGTAAGTAATCAAATCACGACCTGATTCATTTTCGTCCATGGGTGGGTCTTTATTAAAGCAAACTATGTAATATATTTGCGACACAGTCTGCTGGAATCAAATTTTGTTCACAGCGTAGGCTTCTTTGACATTTATGATATTTCTACTCTTTTCATTCGTATTGGCTACTTGTCCTACTTCATCTTTAGTTCAATTAAATATTTCCTCCAGTCTGAAACCATTTTTAATCCCTCACACGCCCGTTGTTTGCTTGTATTCGGTCACAAAACAAGCTTCAGCAAGTTTGTTTTTGCCCGAATGAGTGTTTCTAGCATGTATTTCACGACCATGCGATCAAGTTTACCTTGACTGTATCAGGCCCTACTTTTGTATCCCCGATTTTTGCCTTTTGTTTCACACGATTTTGAGACGACTGTTCTAACCTCTGTTTATGCGCACTAGTATGCAGTGGCAGCCCAGCTGCTTGTAAACACATACTATATTTAAGTTCAATTCATCGCCGTTTTGAACCCGGTCTTGTTTGCTGTGGTCTCGGTTATTTTCGTTTTGTAGCCGTTGTGAATTTTAGTGGAATTCTATCAGTTTCCATTGGTTTTATGCCATTTATGACAAGACAACTTTGGTGACCATTTATTGATCTGCTTCACTGTGTTTCAATGATGAAATTATATTTTTCGTTTTCATTCATCGAATTAAATCGTTGAGTCCTGTGTCTGTGTCCTGTGTTTGGTAGTCATTATAGCCATATCAGCTCTTTAAGATGAGACGAGCTGAACTTAACGTTGCTTTGAATGCTGTGAATCAATCATGTTGCCTCTGATTTATTGGATTTGAAAAGTGATAAACTTCTGTCAGTAAGTAACATTTTAAACCAGTGTTTCTTTCTTTCAATCATTTCAGGTCAAACCTTAAGAAGACGTCCAATGGCTAAAAGCATTGGAAAGCTTTGATAGTTGGTGGGGACCTAAGAAATAGGTGCCATTCTGGGAGTATCTATACTCCCTGTGTAGCTCATTTCAGCTTACCATACTATGCCTGCGGTTCCAAGGTAAGCCATCTACAATTCAGAACTATTTATCTTTCAGTGTTGCTTTTCTTTTCAAAATAAGTAACAATTTTGATTTTTAATGGGGTAACTTGTTTTATGATTTCAGACCGGGGAGTTTGAAGGATCCTGAAATTGCAGAGCTTTTTCAAAAAGATGATCCGGACAAAATATTTGAGGACTTGCGTGAAATTGGCCATGGAAGCTTTGGAGCAGTCTACTATGCAAGAAACCTTAAATCACGGGAGGTGGTTGCTATTAAGAAAATGTCCTACCTGGGAAAACAGAGTTTGGAAAAATGGCAAGACATTTTGAAGGAGATAAGATTTCTACGGCAGCTGAATCATCCCAATACCATAGAGTATAAAGGCTGTTTTCTTAGGGACCACACAGCATGGGTATGATTATGAAATTCTGTTTCTGATTTCTCACAAGTCTCACTTGACTTTTAATTTCTTAAAATTGTCTTGTTTTCACAGCTTGTGATGGAATACTGTTTGGGCTCAGCATCAGACATTATTGAAGTTCACAAAAGGCCACTGAAAGAAGAGGAAATAGCAGCAATCTGTGAAGGTGTACTGAGGGGTCTGCACTATCTTCATTCACTAGGAAGAATACATAGAGATGTGAAGGCTGGCAACATATTGCTAACAGAAAATGGCACTGTTAAATTGGCTGATTTTGGATCAGCCAGCATCCGGAGTCCAGCCAATAGTTTTGTTGGCACTCCCTATTGGATGGCTCCAGAAGTTATCCTTGCTATGGATGAAGGCCAGTATGATGGAAAGGTTGATGTCTGGTCATTAGGCATAACTTGCATTGAGCTTGGTGGGTACATTGTTGTAATCCTAGTTTAACACATTTTGCTGTAATTGTAACTTTAACAAAAACATTTTATTTATTTTATAGCTGAAAGAAAACCACCATATTTTAACATGAATGCCATGAGTGCCTTATACCATATTGCTCAGAATGATACACCTGTGATGCAGTCTCAAGATTGGTCAGATATTTTCAGACATTTTGTTGACTCCTGTCTGCAGAAAAATCCTTCTGAAAGACCTCATTCTGGAAAGTTATTGTCGGTGAGTTGATAAGGGTTGCATGGTTAACTGGAACCCTGCAGTCTGCTGTTTTTTTACCCTCACATGTTTTCTTTCAGCATCAATTAGTGACGAGGCCACGCTCTCCACATGTGTTATTGGACCTCATTCAACGGACAAAGGCAGCAGTTAGAGATCTCGACAATCTAAATTACAGGAAAATGAAAAAAATTCTAATGATGGATGCCTTTGAAAACGAAAGTAATGCAGGAGATGCTGATGGTAATATTCACCTGTGTCTACTTAAATTTACAGGAAACCAATCAAAAACAGGATGACAAAAATTAATTGAAACTTTGATTTATTTCAGGCTCCATTTTTGATTGCACAGATACACCTGATGAGCAGACTGGTGGTGACAGTAGCAAAAGCAACAGTATAACATCTGAGCATTCTATTCACTCCATGGGTGTCAGTGCTTCATCTCAGAGTTCATCTACTAACAGCTTACCTCCAACTGTAGATGGAAATGATGGCTATGCTGCGTCAATGCGGGCTAGGCACAAGGTATTTTGTCAATCTGTTGAAATACTTAAATATTAATCAACTTCTATGTTTTTTTTACCAAATATGTTCTTCCTCACAATTTAGGCATCAAATTCAGCAGCTCTAGCAGATCATGGAGCTAACAACTTTGCCACAATTCGAACAACATCAATTGTTACCAAACAGCAAAAAGAACACATGCAAGAAGAAATGCATGAACAAATGACAGGCTACAAACGTATGCGCAGAGAACATCAAGCAGCTTTAATTAAGGTAATTTTGTCCTGCTCAATCCAGAGATGAGAAGTCTAGTGTGCTGTCACATCATTACTTAGTTTTAAAATTTTTCTCTTTGTGATAGCTGGAAGAGCGTTGCAAGATGGAAATGGAAGGTCATAAGGGTGTTTTGGACAAGGAGTATGATACTCTACTTCAGCAGTTTAGTAAAGAGCTAGAGCGTTTGCAGCAAAAGCACCAACAAGAACTTGAGCGCAAAGTGAAACATAATCTCAGCTCTGATAAAAAATTACAAAAAGAAATTTCATGTCGTCAAGAACAGGACCGCAAAGCTTTTGACACACAGAAGAAGAAGGAGTACAAAGCTAATAAGGAACGCTGGAAGCGTGAATTATCAATGGATGAATCCACACCCAAGAGGCAGAGAGATGCAACCTTAGCGTATGTTCTTTGTCTGAGCATATTTTTTTATTGTGTCATAGTTTTTGGTTTTTCATTTTTTTCTTTCTGTCTAATTATACAAATGTAATTTTTTCTGTTTAATTGTCAGGACTCAGAAAGAGAACTTGAAACAAATCGAAGCTCAAGAGGAACAACGGCTTGTTCGTGGTCAAAAGGAATACCTAGATCTTGAGATGCGTAAATTTAGAAGAAAAAAGTTGCTTTCTTTCCATAGTCTTGAACAGGGACTTCTGAGAGAGGCAAGTTGTCATCATTTGTTTTTAGTTACAAGATATAATCTGTTTTTGTTTTTTCCCTACTTCCCTCATTAAACAAAACGGCATCAAAATAAACTTTCAAAAACTGCTCTTTCAGGAGTTGAATAAAAGACAGCAACAGTTAGAGCAAGCTCATTCAATGCTTCTCCGTCACCATGAGAAAACTCAGGAACTTGAGTACCGACAGCAAAAAGCAGTGCATCAGCTACGAGAAGAACAAATCCAACGTCAGCACCACACTGAGCTGAGCAATCAGAGAGACTACATGCAACGTTCTGAGAGAGAGCTGCGGAAGAAACATGCTCTTGAGCTTAAACAGCAACCAAAGAGCTTAAAGGTAAGCTTTAAGTAAAATGTATTTTAATGTGTTATGGTTTTTAATATAATCCTATATATTTTATATTTTTCAGCAAAAAGAGATGCAAATTCGTAAGCAGTTCAGGGAAACATGCAAAATCCAAACAAGACAGTATAAAGCACTCAAGGCTCAAATCCTCCAAAGTACGCCTAAAGATGAGCAGAAAGTTGTCATCAAGAAGATGAAGGAAGAACAAAGACGAAAATTGGCATTACTTGGTGAACAATATGAGCAAAGCATTGCTGAAATGCTCCAGAAGCAATCGGTACACTTGCATTTTTATTTTTTGCCAATACTTACATACTTACACTCTGGCTCTGCTTAAGTTTCTGATTTGGTTTTACTTTTATTTCTGTCAGATTCGCCTGGATGAGTCGCAAGAAGTGGAATGTCACCATTTGAAGGACAGGTTGCATTACGAATTGGAAATTCTTATGGCATACCAGTCTAAGAACAAAATGCAAGCTGAGGCTCAGAGAAATAGAGAACGGAAGGAACTTGAAGACCGAGTTTCAGTGAGAAGAGCATTGTTGGAACAGAAGGTAATTTCTTTATCTTCCCTCTTCATTGGGAGCCTCTTATTTGAATTATTTTCAACCTAACATTTAAAAAATAAAAAAATGTGTATGTGTGTTCAGATGGAGTTGGAGACTCAACAGTTCCTCCAAGAGCGTTCTGAGCGTATTCGACTGTTGCATGAGCGGCAGGACCGTGAACTGGAACAGTTTGATGAAGAATCGGCCCGTCTTGGCTTCAGGTACAGTAGATACAGATTTCGAGAAGTAGTTCATCCTCCTTTGCTTAGTGTGCATATCTCACAGTTTCTATTTTGTTGTGGTTATATTTCAGTGCTCTGGCTATTGCTGAAGCATCTAAGGAATCCTACCCAGATGATGAATCATTATCAGGAAGTGTATTGAGTTTGGCACATAGCAACAGCTCAGCTTCATTCCCAGCTGGAAGTCTCTAGGGTTGGCTGATTTCTTTCTATTTTAATTTTGTATAAAGTGAAATCATGATTTTAGAAATGTTGTTTTTTGGTGAAGACAAGTGATTCTGCAGGTGGTAACTTGGCAAATTGGATTGAAGTTCGATGAGTAACAAACCTATGCAGTAAAACACGCTTATAACTCATGATTTTAAATGGGACTCCACTTATTGTAACCAGTATTTTTCTTGTATTTTGCTTAGTCTTATTTTAGTGGGCATTTAAAGACAGATGAGTGTATGAGTTCCACTATAAGGGAGTTTTACTGTAGTATTTTTGTTTTACTAGTGGAATAGTTGGTTGTTTTGTTGCATGTGGACACCAAGACAAGATGAGACTCAGGGTCCAAAGAAGGAAATATGTAATGCGGGCCTACACAGACACCACAGGACTAGTTTTTCTTGTTTTTTTGTTTTTTTAACTTGCTGGAAGAAAGGTTATGATTTGTTCTTGTTTTACCAAGAATGGTAAGACAGCTAGCATGTTTCAATTTTTTCTGTAACCTTTATTTAGCCTTTTAAACCTCAAAAACATTGTGGCATGGGTGAACCCTCTCTGCTCATTGACTTACGCGTTTACTGCCATGGTGACTCAGCTATTAATTTAGCCTCACAACAATTGGAAAATATTGTCTATGTAGCTATTGGCTATCAAATATTAGGTATTCTGTGTTTTGGTTTGTCATTCAAACCTGTATTTTTAAAATGTGCTCTTTCCACTGTTTTCCATTACGTGATATATAATTCTGTTCCTTTTCTGAGGAAAATGTGTAACATTGTTGGTATTTTTACTGAAAGCAAAGTGTTTGAATGGATTTCTACTGTATTTAAAATATGTATATCCCTATATATTACTATATAGCACAGCTTTTGTAGGAGCGTTGAGGGAAGCATCAGGTTAGACTTAGGTTTAAGATAGCTCAACATGGCGCTGGCGATTATCAGCTGTAGGGACCTTTGCTTTTTATTAAGTTCTGACAACTTTAGCCCAGTGCAAATTAGGTGTCTAAAATTGTTATTGGTAGTATAAACTATCCTATGGACCTACCACTTAGATAAGCCAAACTATTAAACAAGATAGAAAGTCAAAACAAAGCTGTGCTCAATATTTTGTGAAAATACCTGCATCTTTGCATTTTTGAAGCTTTTTAGTTACTGTAAATCATATTTTTAACATAGGTGCCCAACAGTGTTTCTGTAACTTACATTGAAATTATATTGATTCAAGTACAAAATTTGATGAAAACAAACAGCAAATTGGGATGGAATTAATATTTTGGTGTTGTCAAAATGATTCTGATTGCTGTTGGAATGAAAACGATTGGTTAATCAAATTCTTGGATGCTTTCTATTGCTTACTGAATTGTAAGCAATGTGGATATTTTGTCTATCATTTAATTGGTCATGAAATCTACAGAATGTTTGACAAGCTATTGTGTCCTTTGTAGAGTTTTAATTACTCAGTGGTACTGTTAAATTATTTCACTTACCTTTGTATGTGTGCTCAAGCTTCTACAAAATGCTCATAGAAAATATTGGGACTTTGGTAAAACTGTTAGGGGTGATACAGACTCGTCTCCAAATTCAGGCAATCTGCAGTACGTCCGTATTTTCTATCAAATGAAAGTAATAACAATTTTAAAATTGAATTGCTAATACAATGTCAAGTATAAAATTATAATTCTTAGACGTTTTGTGTGGTCCGCTGTTCATATTAATCACATCTCTCTATATGCCTTTTTGTTGGTTTGAATAATTTGGCAAACTGCAAAGCATTGATTTATGTTGTGTCTAAACCAGGATTGAACAAATATTGGTGCCTGCCTTGCCTAATGTGGTATGGTTGTTCAGCCAATCCAAGTGTAATTAGATAAAATCTGGTTCTTCTTTTTTTTTTTTTTTTTTTTAATCTATGATTTAAGGTTGTATAAAACTTTCAGTATATTTCAGTTTGATGTGAACATCTAGTGAAGCATGAGGTGATGATAATTTTATTGATGTGAAGTGCTTGTGGGATGTCACAGAGTAACTGTTAATACCTCTTTCCACAAATGTCCGGTCTGTGCTATAGCCAGCGCCGGTGTAAATCTAGTCTGGTCATAATATTTTTTCTTAACAAATAAAGAGATCTTGTCCTTTGTGTAAGAAGCTTGAAACCCAAAGTGTTGTGAAAAGCTGTGGACTCCATTCGTAATTCATGAAATATTGCTTGACTAAAACAACCATGCAAGAGAGATATGAAGAGGCTAGGATGGTTGAGATAAAATGGGTTTAGCTGCCCTAAAATGCAGCTTCTACCCAGTCATCTGTTCATCAATAGAATTTTAATTCATTTACTTTATGGCATTCTTATGCTAATACTCTAAATCATAATATGACAAGATTTTTGTGATACTGTATTTAGTTAGATATTCATTAAATTACTTAATCATATTCACTTATGTTTCTGTTTACTCAAGGACAAAAGTTTCAAAACCCAAATAAGTCATCATTACTCACGAACAATTTTATTCACATCACAGACAAAATTACCAAACAAAAGCCAAGTGTAATTCAATTTACATCCTAGTACTTATTTCTCCAGTTACTAAGTGATTCGTGCTGATACTAGCTAGCCAACATGGGCATTAAGTAAAGCAAAATACAGTCACCCTACTCTATTAAGGGACAACTACAGTACAGTTAAAACCACAACATTTTCATTTGTTTTCTTTCTTCATTAAAATAAAATGCAAAAACATGAGTTATGGTTACAGCCAATGAGCTTGAAGCTTGCATGCAGATGTGATGATAGGTTAAATACCTTGAAGCACAGCTCACCACTTATAATATAATGTTCAGTCTTACATTGGGCATTTGCCAGTCACAATCACTAAACAAAATTTGGATGAAGAAAAGGATTGCAACATTGACAAAGAGTTAAGTGAATTGAACAACTTAATTAAGAGTACACATATCAAAACCATGCCTGTGAAGTTGTAACAGCATGATAAAACCAACATGCTAGCGGTTGCTATACAGTAATTTTATTCTAGGTACGAGTGGAAGTCATTACTAGCACTTTCTAAAGTAGTAACTCATAATACTAAAATCACAATTGAAACTCCATTTACAGGGGTTGAGGATCAAACATTACAAGTCTCTTCTGAGCACCATAATGTGGCCAAGTAATGTATGTAGCCACATTCACAGGTTCACACGTACCTTTTAATATGGATTTGAAGTTTGTAATTAAAGTCAGAATACTGACGATATATTGTGAGTGGCTCAAGCAAAATTGAAAACAGTGTTGTCAGTAACAGACTGTAATAAATGCTTAGCAGACATGAAACAGCATTCAGCCTGCTTCAGCCAAGCTTATCAGACCAGAGCTGTGTGTCTTTTGCTAATACTAATGTAGCTGAAAATGACAAACTAATGCCTAGGCAATAATAGCATGGGTAAGGACGCAATAAATCATGTAACGGAAGAAAACACAAAAAATATTACAATCATTCCTTGAGGACTCTACTCAAACTTCAACAGATTTTTTAACACTTAAAATGAATATTAAAACCGAATGGTCCCATAAAACACTTCTTACATGGTAAATAAAGAAAAAACGCATTAAAACATACTTTAAGACAGAGGGTACTAAATAATCATTTCTATAAGAGAATCATTTAAGCACCTTATTTACTGTATTTGCTCCACACTCCAAATTTTATAGCGGACTCAAAGGCAAGACCATCTAATAAGAACAGGGATGGAAAATTAATAAATGCAATCCTTTCCATCCTCAGAAAAAGGTATTCTGAGATGAAAAAAATAAAAGGGGAGTGATGTGCTTTATGGAGTTTTCTATTATTACTTCCTTTAAAAAAAATATAAAAAAACAGCTTTAAAACTCCTTCCAAGACTATTTTGCCAAGGGAAGTTCAAATGAGTGTACTTGAACTCATTATTTTACACCATTTCCATTCGACGTGAAGCACCTTTCATGGCTTTGGTTCAGGCAAATGAAGGGCTTTGAATCGTATAAATCCGGTATGAGAAAAGTCAACATTAACTGTTAGAATTCAAGCGCATAAAAAGTTTTAGATTATGAAAAGGTAAAACTAAAAAAAAAGAGACAAAAAGGAAAATCACTTGTAATATTTTTACCAGACAAATCCCTCTAACCTATCAATAAATATGGACAAGAGATTTCACCATTCATTTGTCAGGGTATGTACTATGTGAATGAATTATTCATCTTAACAAGGAATGAAAAATAAAACAACTAGATGATTCATCACCAAATATATGGCACATAAATAAACTATGATACCTCACATCATTCATCAGGATCAACCACTTGACTTTATATTGAGGTGAATCTCCAGAAATGTATGCTCCATGAATGAAAATGGTGGCTCATAAGGACAATACTGCACTATGCACTTGGAACAAAACCTAAAGTATCAACAATGAGACACTCGCATTCACTTACATTTCAATTGACTTTCAATTCTTCAAAGAATGTTCAAAATACAGATGCTGTACTTCTATTCAATAGTTTCCAGGATATTTCTCACAAAGAAATCAGAGTTTTAGCAATTGTAGCACGCTGGCTTTCAAGCTTTGACGTGAAGAAAGCCAAGAGTGCATCAAATACACATTATAAATTTTCGGTAGACAATAGGTAGAGTCAAAGAAAAACCTATGCTAAAACAGTCAACAAATAGAAATTTGGTATAGAAAATCACATGCTCAATATTTAAGCTTTCAGATAAATTGCCTTCACTTTAATTTTACCCCCCCCAATCCCTCTGTAAACCTTGAAAATGAAATCCTCCC